TCCGATACCGGTATTACCCGACGTGGGCTCGATGATATGCGAGTCCTTCTGCAGACGACCGGACTTCTCGGCGTCCAAGATCATACTCAGACCAATGCGGTCCTTCACAGAGGCGCATGGCTCCATGAACTCGCATTTAACAGCGATCTTGGCGTGACATCCTTCGGTCACGTGGTTCAAGTAGACCAGCGGCGTGTTGCCGATGAGCTCGGTCATGTCCTTAGCGATCTTGGGGGCCATCTTGATGGGGTTGGAGGGCGGGGTGTCGGGGAGACAGCTGATTGAAGAATGATCTCCATGTAGGATATGTGTCCCCGCTGAGGGAAGATACGTGGCCACGAGGTGGAATGCAGCTCAAGCATTCGACGAAGGAGGGCGATAATGACCAATCAGAAACGTGACAAAGTTGAAGAGGGACGTTATAGTCATGTGATTGGCTGCTGGACGCGGGCTCAGCTAGTCGCAACCATTCTACAACTTCGACGTATGGGTCCTCTGGACGGAATTTGGTGGCCCGCCGATGGGTTCGACTCAGTTTCCACAGCGTCTGCAGTTTGAGATGAGCTATTACATTCGCTACGAGCTATAGTCATTCAAGGATATTAGACATCGCCTTGGATCGTTGGTTTTCCACTGTGGAATCCACATCTACGATAGTGAGCTCGATACGATCGATTACCTTGATTTGTTTGTTTTGTATGATGTAGTGATGGTGGACTGTGAACACTACGGATTGGAAATATTCCAACCAACGCCACGTGAAGAAACCAACAATATCAGGCCGACTTAGGCAGACTGACTGACTATCGTATTGAAACTGTTGACCTTCGTTTTTTTATGATGGTCATAGGGCAACCATGTGCTCAATTAATGTATCAAAAAGTCAAATAACCACGACCTGCCGAACCTTTAGCCATAATTTGCAAGACCCACTGATGCGAACTGAATACTTCGGCAAACAACGAGACATCGTCAAGAGGAAAGGATGAAGACCAAAGTGCACGATGGATATCCTCTGACGCTTGAGTAGTCAATGAGACGTTCCCGTTGCATAAAGTTTGTTGTGTTGGGTCTAGTATTTTTCTTATCTGTTTTTACTACGGATACAGAATACCACTCCCGGTCTTCTGTTTCATCTCATTCACTACCTCTCTCAATCATAAAGTCCATTCAGGTTCATACATCTTTCTTTTGCTTCAATCCAACATGACACCCTACAGTGGTGCTACAGCACTTAATTCACTCCAAATATCTGCGTCGCACCGTCAATCTGTTGCTTTCCGGATTCAGATATCCTCGGATCAGGAACCGACCAAAGCGGTTCTTCCCTTTACCAAGCACAACATAGCGACTAGCAACGGGCTCTTCATCATCTTCACTGTAATATCCCTCCATATCCTCGTCCTCATCTTCTTCTTCGTCTGACGCTGGCATGGGCAGGAACTGTAAGTCCACTTGGTCTTCTCGGATTTTCACCAATTTCCCATTAAACTGCCGCAGCTTAAAGAATCCCGCATATTTCCCGGACACCGGACGTTTATCATCTTTACGACGGGACTGCGGGACACGAGCACGAGACGTGTATTCGAAGGGGCTGACACTGTCGAGATTCTGGAAAGCTTCGTCACTGAAGCCCCAGTTGCCCATAAAGCAGGCCCGTTGGTTATTTCGTATAGAGTACGAGCCTTTAAGGATCGGGTCTGCCGCTTCTGTTTCAAAAACTGTGAACTCGGATGGAATAGCTGGCTGCAGGATCTTGCGCTTACGTTTAAAACGTCTGCGAGGCTGATTGTTGGGCTCACGTTTCTGTTTCTTATACTTCAAGAGCTTGCGAGGACCAGAACTCGGTGCTGCGTGGCGTTTCTTGGATGCTAAACGAACATCTTCGTCCTCTGAGGCCGAGCTGACACTGCTAGAAGAGGAAGACGAGCTAGAGGAAGAAGAACTGGAGCTCGAACTGGAGCTTGAACTGGAGCTTGAACTGTTGCTTTTATCTGCTATAACCAGTGTACTTCCACTCCCGTCACTGTTAGTATCGGAATTGTTATCAAGTCTCGGAGTGACACCAGTGAGATCCACGCCACTGAACCCAAAAACGTCGTCTGTGGTGTCTACATCGACGTCTATGACATTAGGAGCTTCAATTGCAGCCGCTTCGTCGTCTTCGTCGCCATCAAACCACTGGTACTCGCGATGATCAATCAGATCCGTCTCCTCATCGGCGTCTGTACCGGTATCATGTTCGGGAAGCAGCTCATGGTCGTCGCCTTGGTGGAATTCCAGCAGTTCCATGGCCTCGTCAGCACTAAGATGAGGCATCAAGGGACTGCCGAGTATTTTAGAGGATGCTGCATCCACTGGAACCGTTGCGTCCATGAAATCCGCCACATTATCCACCAATGTGGTGACAATCTCACTCACCGTTTGAGCCACTTCAGCGTCAAATTGTCCAGGACCTATTTTTAGTCCAGATTGGTCCGGATTGATATCTCCCGTAGTCATCTCAACGTCCTCGCTTGTATCGACCGTAAACTCCTTCACTTCAACACTCTCGCTAAGCTCCACTTTGTGTACAGTTGATACTTGACTTACCACAGCCTCAATCTTTGTCTCCTTATCGTTATCAACCTCCATCTCCACAGTTTTATCTTCTTCATGAGCCTTATCGCTAGTATCCACTTCCATAGCAACTGTTTCCTTCGCAACCTCAGTATTACCATCACACTTGACTGTAGCGGTCTCAACTTCACTCTCCACTGGCAGCAGTGATAGCTCCCCAGAGTATTTTGCCGTCTCCTTCTCTCCACACGTGACAAACTGCTCCTCCGACTCACTAGACTTCACCACATCTGTCCCCTTCTCATGATCAATTTTGTCTATATCCATCGGTAACGGTGCGTCCTCGACCAGTGGATCCGACGTGGCACCGTCGGTATCTTTCACGGTCTCTGCAGCCGCGTCGACACCGACGTGGGTAGCAGAGACTACACCACGTTGCTGCTTCTCCGTTATGTCTTTTGAGCTATTGTCTTGCGTTGTATGTGCCTGCTTGATCGCGTTTTCCTTATTTTCTCTCGTATCCAACTCAGTTTGCACCTTGTCGCCGTCATTGCTCAGCGTTTTCTGCGCCAATTTCGACGAGACTTGGTTGGATACATGCGCAGCGTTCTCGCCGTCACGACTAGTCGTCTGGGGCTGCTGTTTTTCCTCCGCCGCCGCCATAATCACATACCCAGAAGCAACCGATGCTTGTCAGATCCACCGCTTCTTTTTGATTCCGTAGCCACAAAATCTTCAAAAAGCGTACCTAATCGAACATTCCGCCTTTTGATTGGTGCAAATCACATCACTTTCTGATTCGCTTAACTTAAAATTGAATTTTGCCCAATTATATATAAGGATTTTTGCTGGGACCACTGGCAGTCGTCACTCGCTATTATTCGCCTTCGGAGGAGAGTATGATTGTCCCTGTGCGCTGCTTCACGTGCGGCAAGGTGCTGGCCAACAAGTGGGAGACATACCTGGGTCTGCTGCGCGCCGACTACACGGAGCGTGATGCGCTGGACGAGCTATCACTGAAGCGTTACTGCTGCCGTCGCATGATGCTGACCCACGTGGACCTTATTGAGAAGCTGCTGCACTACAACACTGGCGGTACGAGCAGTTATTGGACAAATGTCTGTTAATACTTTATTTTAGGGGGCACTCTAACTTACATATCTGTATGTGGTATTGCAGCCATTGAGCGAGGCGACGACTAAAAGTGTGCTGAGCGGACCTCGACGTGTTAGAGCATGGAGACCGAAGAGCTACGGCCGCTCTTGTGACAGTATTATAGTCTTCCTTCCCTACTTTAAATCGTACCCGGCATCATTCATTTACTTTATCCACTGTTGTTAACACTCTAATGACCCCCTAACTCTATGCTCTACACTCATATGAAGACTAACTTTTCTATGATATCCTGCTCCGAATCGCGAGGTGCGTCGCTCTTGATGAAGCCCCAGTGACGCAGAGTACAGATTGCACGGACGAAGCGAGCCTTGATAGCTGGATCGTCACTAAAGTTCCCTGCCTTCCTCTTGCTCGTTACAGTGTTGGCCTCCTCCTCCAGTTCCGCCGAAAAGCTATCGTACCATTCGCGAAGACTCAGACTCGCACTAGCACTCTCCTGGTAAAACAGGAAGGCCAGACCCACATCATGTATCCACGAAGCCTCGTCTGTGCCATTAGAGTCAATATTTTCTCCAATCCCAGCGTCTTGCAGCACGTTACGGAGATGATCATGGTACTCGAACCGCAGTCGTTCTTCCAGTACACTGGCGTCTTTCAACGCCGACCAACTGGAAACCAGTTTATCAGCAGGAGACATTGAGCTAGAAGAAGGTGGGTGCAGCAGTGCAGCGATGAGATTGGCGGTAAACACCGTAACAATCTCCTCTCGCAACGCTATCAGCATCTTCACTGGGGTCTTCTCTGTTCTTGCATATGCACACAACATCGCCAGCTCGTTCAGCGTCATCTCCACCGCGTCGTCTTCAAGTGACCCAAACACACGGAACGAGACCTTCCAGTGTTGAATCATCCCTATCAGCACCACCCAGTCGCATGTCTCTAAGCGTCGAAGAACTTCCATAAAGCGTGGAGAATCACCTAATCGTCCTTCAAGCGCTAACGCCAAGTGTGTCGCTGCCACGTCTTCCTGTTTATCCACATCTTTCGCATTGCTATCAATGCGTACGTCCAGCCACGAGCAAGCGGAACGGAAGCACTCCCATCCCAATCGCCAACGAGCTTGTCGTCGACGTTCATTAATTAGCGCAGACTCTAACACTGTAATCCAATTAGCGTCCCCAGTTACAGCATCCGTAACCATAACCCGAGATGCCAAGTCTGCCAGTTCGAAGTCGCTGCAAAAAGCAAGCCACGAGCCCAGAACAGACTCAGACCAAGTTCTGTCTTGTGCTTCAAGCATTAACCGTCTTCGTTGTCTCTTAATCCAAATAGAGATACGGTGCGGTAACGGTGTCATGTCGGCAGCGACCAAAATAGGGGATTCTCCACTCCCTAAATCATCAATAGCGAGTGCCAGAAAACTCCAAGGACAGCGTCGAAAGTGCGTGAACAATAGAAACCGTAATGCCAGCAGCAACCGCGGCACACTAGGAAGACGATGGTGGCGACTAGCGATCGCTCGCAATACTTGACCGCTGAGTGCAAGAGGCAGCTTGGCTTTCACGACTAGCGCCTCTAACACATCATCAAAGCACTTACGAGAGTCCACAAGCGAGAAGAACTGTAACTCCAGGCGGTTAGTGACCGTCAAATCTAAACGTCGAAGTGCTGGAGAAGTCGCTGAGGCCACTCCAACCACAAACCCAAGAGTACAACTTGTGGCTTTAGTCTGATGAGTTTCTTGCTGTTGCCGGACAAAATGTGTCCAGATCTCTAAAAATTCGCCAAAAACTTGTTGTGAAAACGCTTCAAGTTGTTCGATACACAGTAACAGGAATGGCTGGGAAGCCTGTGTGCTTTGAGTGACTGTGTCTGGATCAGACTTGAGCATGTAGTAGTCCTCGTGTTTGAGCATTTCCTTCTTCACCGATTTCCGTCGATCATCGATCGTTTGTCGATCCAGAAGCCATTCGTTCAATAGCGATGAGTACTGCACGAACACACGTTGCAACATTTTAGCCAATGCCATCTCTGTGCTGCCAATATGAACTGAAGCGGAGTTCGAGTCCGACTCGGGCGCTACATTGAGCAGTTTAGCTGCAGTATCTCGACACGTCAAGATCTTGTGCTGTAACCATTTCACTGCTTCGTCAAGACACGCTATACTCTGCATAATCATCTCGTCCTCTTTATAGTGAAGCTTCTTCACCAACGTTAATGCTTCTTGAAGACGGTCGTGTACCAGCTCGCCTAGTATCTCGAGCAGCTCACGACACGTGTCTCCACTATTTGGCGATAAGAGATCATCAACATTACGCTGTATAGTCATCAGTAGCTTCGTCATCGTCCACCGACCATACGCTAGCGACGTAACTCGTCGTTTCTTCTTCGTATCGACTAAAGCAATACCATCGTCGCTACCATCAGACTCGGAGCTTGAGTTGAAAGAGCTACCATCACTCTGATCATCGTTATCGTCTTGAATATCATCGAGTGTCTTCGCACGCTGGTGTCTTGTCACTCGACCGACACTTCGTGCAACTACAGGATATTGGTCCAATGGGAGCAGATCGAACTTGCCCACTAATGTCTCGAGCCATTTCTCCTCTCGTCGCTTGGTTGCACACAGTTTTGCCAGTCGTGTAGCAAGCCACTCGATGAATCGTCGAGCTGTTGCTACATCTCGCTGCACTTTGATAGAGAGAGGGAATGTTCGTCGCAGTTTGTGCGTTAGTGGCTCAATCCATAGATCACTGGACGTTGCGTCGGTTCCAGCGATTACAGCAGCGGTTGGGAATGCGTGGAACTCAGGGAATATCACAGGAACATTGGGATTGCGCAGGCGTCGACCAGACGGCGACGCTCCTCTTGTTGATACTTTGGTTATTGATCCGGTGTCGTCACGTGCACAGTACTTCTCGAAGAACCTCAGTACTTGACTGTAGCTCGTGTCGTTGCTCTTGCGTAATAATTCCTGCACGGCACGACGCGTCTTCTCACAGGCGAAATGATACGCCAGCTCTTGACACACATTGTAAGCCTCAGTGTCGGCTCTGTATTGACGCTCCGAGGAGGTTTTAGAGTCCCCAGGAAACGGGAACTGGTACTGCACTCGCTCGTTTTTATTTCTTGACGAGTTATTAGCTGCCGATCGGCCATACGGAAACTGGATCGACACGCCCGTGGAGAAGGCCGAAGTCTCCATTGGCGATACGCCTTTGCAATAGATAATGGCGCGAAGAGCTCCCTGTCTAAAATGATCGATATTCAGCATATTCACCAATCCAAGAGCCGTTCAAGTCTTTTTTATCCAATCAACTTCGCATAATTCCGGGTAACGACCATTAGTGTCTTTGTATTGCGAAGAGTCACTAAGCGCCTTGCAGCATGAGCTCTACACGCGTGCAGCGCAGCCATCAGGAACGCGGAGACGGCGCCGTGCCTCTTTATCCATTAAGCCGCACGTCGAAAACTTCAGGCAGTGCGCGCACCGCTCGCACAGGCCGACGAACAAAACAAGAGCTCCCAGAAGAACAGAAGAAGGAGCTGAAAGAGGCTTTTGAACTCTTTGACACAGACAAAGTGGGGTCGATCGACTACCACGAGCTCAAGGTGTTGATGCGCGCTTTGGGCTTCCAAGTGTCCAAACGAGAGGTGCTGGATCTCGTGGAGGACGTGGATGTGCAACGTAGCGGTCGCGTGGACTTCAACGACTACATGGAGATCAGTAAGGGGATTCTAAGTAGAGGCAAGAAGCCGCTCGCAAAACTGACGTATCGTATGGCTATTACAGTGCGGCGGAAAGTGTTGGCAAGAGATCCAGACGAGGAGATCGCGCGGGTAGGACGCGTGGGCCGCTCGCCTCATGACCCCACGTACTCGGATACAGAGTTGGAATCAGACTGATTGTATCCCTTACTCTAGGCATTCGAGCTATTTGATGAAGACGGATCAGGCACAATCACTCTGCGGGTGTGTTTGTTCGGTCTTTTTGTTGTTGATAATACGTGAAGCTGAATCGAGTTGCGTATTGTGTCGGTATGGGGCTAATGACGGACAGAAAATGCGTAGGGTGGCCAAGGAATTGGGCGAAAACCTTGGCGACGATGAACTGCAGGTGTGTATAGAGATTGTAGCTTAGATAGAGGCAGATTGCTTGACTTGTTGCTCAAACTGTAGGCTATGATCGATGAGTTTGATCAAAATCAAGACGGAGAGATCGACATGGGTGAATTCTTTATGATCATGAAGCAGTCAACAGAATTCTAACTCATCACAACACGATAAAAAGATGAAGAAAGAATTGTCCATGGGATTATCGAGATAGTAAGACTGTAGTCTTCTCAAAGAGACGACTCAGTCGGCCTACTTCAACCAGCACATAGCAAAATAGACTTTCAGACGAAAGACGCTTAGTTGCGGTGGTGGTGGTGCTGCTCACGGGCCTTAGGCTGCAATAACAAAGATTAGGATTAGTAAAACTCAACCTCAGAATCATCCAAACACTGGATTGACACTGAGGGAGCCGATGATATCATGGCGACCAATGCAGCGTAGACACGGCAGTAATGCGTGTGATAATAGACGGATAACATAAACCGCTATCGCCTTTGCTACGCCAGACAGCTAACACAACTAGAGCTGCGTTATGCTGCTGGCTGCAATGGGTCCACCGTTCCGACCACACGCACGGTCATCATCGGCTCCAGCATTGTCTCTCCTTTTAGCAATTAAAAACTTATCGTACCTGGGGCACGTGAACGCCGGCCAGCTTGAGGTCCAGGTGGGCCAGCAGGTCCTTGGTGTCGTTGTCGATCTCGATGTTCTCCGTGTCAATGGCCGAAACCTCCGGGACGAAGTCCATGCGGCGCTCACGCTCCTCCTCCTGGAGCTTGAGCGAGATGCCGCGCACCTGGCCGTGCTGGATGCGCTTCATGAGGTGCGTGATGTAACCAGCGATCTTGTTGCGCATACGCTTCGACGGAATGATGGCAACCTCATCGCACACACGCTTGTTGGTGTCGAAGTCGAGAGTAAGACGCGAGTAGTACTTCTCGATGATCTTGACGGCAGAGCCCTTCACGGTCTTGGTACGGACACCCATGGCTGACTAGGAATTCTCTCTTTTTCAGAAATGAACTGGAAGAAACTCTTCATACAAAATAATCAAGCGATTCCAAACCAACCGTTGAGCACTGATGTGAAATGCCAGTCAGAATTATTGGTAAAGAAGCTGTGTACACAAACAGGTCATGTACTAGGGAAACATGCATACAATTTCGTATATGCGGGAAAATTGGATAGAATGCAGATACACTTTTTGAGGTATGCCACACGAATGATAATTCACAAAACGCGGTGGATTACATTCCACTTCCAGGTGAACACCTATTATAAATGTGGAGCAGCTCTGCGTGTTCGAGTTTAGCGCCCTTGTACTCAACTACACCGATACACTGATCCTAACCCTGCTAGGTACTGCGCTGATCTCGGGAAGCGCTCATTCATCGGCGTCGTCAACCGTGACCAACTCGTATTCAACAGCGGAGATGTTGTTGTCCGTGTTGATGCTGGGAGGAGGTGGAGGCGTGGACGCCACGCCGTCCGGATGCGGCGATAGTTTTCCCCACTGGGTCACATTGAGTCGCATGAAGCCGTTGAAGATGTCGGCGTTGCTGTTGCGCACCACCACTACAAGTCCTTCCTTCAGCATGTCAATCTGGTCTGCGAATATCACATAAAGCCTTCATTAACCTCCAGAATCTACCATTAAGCAACACTATCATCGCCACATACCATTTCGAGCGGTAAACGTGACGCATCCGGTCTCGTCCGCCAGCACTGCCTCGGCAATGCGTGAGATGGTGCCGTCGTAACGCTTCTTTTCTACCGTTGGGGCAATAGAAACCACTTGCAGCACTAAATTGTGGCCTTGCGAACCTGGTGTGAGGTCCTGAACCTTTACATCTGCAGTTAATACATACAATACGCAGTGGATTAGCCTAAATGGAGGCAAAGTAATCTGATATCAACGAGAAGGTGTCTGCAACGTACAGGTGGCGCGTCGGAGCTTGCGGGGCGCTTCACTTGCAGCAGCCATTGCCAGTGTGTGTAGATAACGAATAAACCTGTCTGCTGAGCTAGTCGTAGCGTAAGTGCTGGCTTGTCGTAGCGTGTAGATACGACGAAGAACAGCGGCGTCAACGAGCTTATGACCTTGTCAACCAACGAGAAAAGATCGGACCGATTGGACTTCTTCTCGTTCACTGATTGGCTGAAACACTACATGTCCGACATAACCAATCAAAGAGTTGAGCGGTATCTCTTCAAGATGCACTCACTTCAACGCAGTATCAAGATCGCAAGGCAATGTAACAAGAAGATAATGAAGACATTGAAGGCGTCTGTATATGAGTTGGGGATATACCGTGACTGTGGCCAGTCGAAAGCATGCGCTAGCCAATAAAAAGGAATACAAAATGGACAAAACCCGACTAGGACGACGAGGCGATATGTACACGCGCAACAGCGCAGCAGGCGATGTCTGCTGTCGCGGTCATAGTGTTGCGCACTCTATATCGATGCGGCCTCCGGTACATCGTCGCTGTTTGGATGTACCGAGGCTTCCGATTCTGGCTGCTCCTGCTCGACTGATCCCTCGTCGCTCGTCGAAGCCGACGCCACGTCGTCTGGCATCGCTGCTGCGTCTTCAGTGACGTCTTCTTGCTCTTCCTCGCTCTCTTCTTGCACTTCAGCATCATAGGACAATACATTCTCCCCTTCCTCCTCTTCGTCGTCCTCGTCTTCCTCCATCTCGACTGAGCCGTACATGAAGTCAAAGTCGATCTCGTTGGACTCGCGTCTATTCTGGATGATGGTGTTCACCTCGGCTTCCACCGACGCTATCACGGGCTCCTCGCAGCCTGCGTTGTTCAGAATAATCTCGCGCTCCTGCGGATCTAGATAGCCTTCCTCCATGTAGTTTTGTCGTCCCACGCGTCTATACGACAGTAAATTACGGTAAGATTCTCCACATACGCTTCTACTCATCAAGTCTAACGCATACGTACTCGCTCGCTCGCTCCATTTCAAACGAGTCCAGTCGTCGACGCGACCGAGATCGCTCGTTCAGCGACATGCCAACGGGAACGCCGCCCGACGTGACGGTCGTCGTGTAGACCGTGGGTTCGAACTCCACGATGTCTGCGCATTCGAAAGATACGCGCCTCCGCTTCTTATTGGGCCTCTGTTCACCCATAGCGACGTTGTTCTCGTCTGTTACGCCGTTAGCTTTCCACTCGACGTTCTCAGCGTCCTCCGCTGTCTCGACGTCCACATCCACGTCCTCCACCTGATCCAGTCCCAGATCTATTGCTGTGCTGGTAGGACTGTCGGAGTCTGACGCAGGCGCCTCTTTCGCTTCCGCCGTATCGACAGCTACAGTCATCAAGACACTCTTACTGCCACTAGGCACCGCAGAGGGCGAATTGGAAGGTCCAGACGGCGGAGAAAGCACCACAGTGGTCATATCAGAGTGGTTATGTGCGCGATCAGGCGTGGATCGCTGTCGGGGACGAAGGGGAGACTCGCAGCGGCGGGGAGTTCTTCGCCTATTCAGCACCGAGGAGCGATGCGGCTTTAGCTTTGGAGATAGAAGCGAACGGTGGAGCGCGCGGCGGATACCGAGTTTGAAAAATAAGGAACCGCACGCTGATTGGTCCGCCTCGCCGGGTGCTGCTGAACATGTGGCGGGCACTCTTGCGGGGATAGATTTCTGCAGGACTCTTTTTCATATGGATAGTATGGAGATGGCATGCAACTATAATATTTGAGTTCACAGGCACGCTCTTGTTTTTGCATCGACGGCCCGTCTCTGCAGATCTCCATTCCCTCTCGCAGGTCGATCCGCCAATCAGCACGCTCTCTGGAACAGTGAAGTGCTAGGTTTAGGTGGATTTATTTGATGTGAGCCACACAGAAATTTGGATCGCAATTTTTCACGTGCAGAGGATCAACTTGACAAGCTTCATGCCGAGCAAAGCGCTCGCGGTCTTCTTGACCTCAAGCGCAGTTGTCGCGTACCGCAAGGCAGACGAGCAAGGAGAACATGGCGTTGTCATTGTCGTTGTCGTTGAAGCGCTGCAGCCGTGTTGATCCCGAACGATGCGGGAGTGTCGGCAATCGCCAGCGAACGTTCTCAGCCAGTGGTGTCGCAATGCAGCATCCCTTTGTAAATTATGTATGCCCGTCCTCGCTCGGTGAGCACTGCGCGCAACGAACCGACTTGACGCACGCCTACGCCGCCACAGCCTGTGGCTCACAGGTGCAGGCTTTTATACTGCGTGTCGAGATCGGGATTTGCACAGTGTAGGTCGCCGCGCTGTTGAAGTCCGTGAGCAAGCAGCAACAGGATCCGAGTTGACAACTCCTGCTCCGTCTCGGTTTCGTGTCTCTGTTTTGCAGGGACCGCAGGCAATGTCGTGACTGCATGGTTCCTGAGAGATTTGTTAAGCTTTCTCGGCGCAGCTTCCAATCACGCGCATGCTGCGCGATTCCAATGCTGCATTGGCAAGGCAGATTCGGGGCATGAGCCGAACAACAAATCGGTGTCTGGCGTCGGTTGTCGAGCAAGTGTATATCGCCCGCAGCAATATATGTCTACGTTGCAGCAAGAGGAGAGCTTGCCAGCGGACAGCGCTTTAGCTGACAGCAACGCCAGGTGGTGCCGCCAGTAATGATTCGAACCGAAGCACCATTTCGAGATCAGAGACCGAGCCGCGCGGTCAAAAGTTCAATCAGTGCGAGAGCAGAGCCGAGCTCAGCATTCAAGTCCTGGCACTGCTGGTAACAATTTGGTGCTGCGGGACACACCAAAAGGCGAAACGGAGCGAGCTTCTGCTTCAGTTGCTGCTGGATGCAATCGTGCCACTGTTGGTCCGTATCTCGGTAGGTACAGCGTACCAATTCCTGTGAAAGTGGATATTTCGTGGCAAAAACCGGCCGAACAGTCACTTTCGAAGCCCCGTCAAAACCGATGGTCCACCACAGAAGCGAGTGTCGAGGTTTTCTCTGGTTCTGAAGTCGCCGCTCAAATCGCGCAGCTGGGCTCAGACCTGCTTGGCGGTTTTTGAGATTCTCGACTCGAACTCACACAGATTGAAGTCGCCAATGTTCGTGGCGAGCCGAGAGGCTGCTCTCCGTGTGCCATTCAAGCACGCAGCCGCTCTCTAAAAACCGAAGCAGGTAACGACCTGGCCGGAACCTTCCAGGTCGTAATTTTCTCACACCGTCGGATGTTGGGACAAATCGGATTGAACCCGACGGCAGCGAGTCAGCGGCGTAATACATGCACGGCGAAAACGAGAATCCGCAACACCAAACGACGCATGCTGGTGGAGGTAATCACGCCAGCCCTTCCGAAACTGCATAGCAAGAAGCAGTCGGAAGGCAGGACGGCCGTTGCTGCTGGCCGAGCTTCTTAGGGGGCCTAAGAAGCGTCAGTCCGTTTCGAGGCGTCTGCCACATTTAATGTGGCGAGCACTGAAAAATGCGAGAGAAAAAAATGTGCCGTCCTAGTGGTTTGCCTCGCGGCAACGTCGATGCAAGATGTGTTGGCGCTGCAGACGGGCTGACTTGTGGGACTTCTTTTGCAGGACAGGAGCTCCCCTAGCCCGTGCTTCAAATACGATGTCAGCACTGGATTGTACGCACTCAAAACAAACATACACTTGGATGTGTACGTTGCAGCGGGGGCTTCAAGCGCTCTCTCTGGTGCCTGCAGACGGCGGGTACATCTCCAGCTCAAACATTACGAAAGTACCAGGTAAAATCATCAGCAAAAGCACTTGGCAACTCGATGGCACCGCCATCTGGGCGATGACTGCGGCGCCCAGCGCTGACATCAAGACAGACCTTTTGGTCTCTTCTGCAGCGCGTCCACCGTTTTGCACCCATACAAACCGTCAGTCAAAAACCGGCTGATGCTCCGTACGGTACAAACCTTAGGCTGGGGCTAGGGTGACGAAGCGAGAGGGGCTCCCCCCTGAACTTGCAACTGGGTATCAAAGACGCAACCCCGATCACACAACCACTTTCTCCCTCTGCTCGCTTTATTCTGCAATTCGCCGCAAAGATCGCAAGCATTTGCTGGTGTTGCGTGCGTGTTACCGGTACAATATCAGTAAGTTGAACCCTCCGAATCAGAGCCACCCACGCCAGCCAGGAAGCATGTCGGAGTACTCGGAGATGGCGCACAAGCACATGGCCAACGCGCCCGGCAGCGCCGTGAATGACAGCTACAACCCGGTCTACCAGCCTCAGATGCACATGCAGGCGCCGCCTCCGCAGCATCCCGTGCGCTTCCAGGAGCTGCCTCGCCTACAGGTGCCTCCTTTCGCACTCACGCAGCAGTCTCCGGCTTGGAAAATGCCGCAGGAGCAGCCTGCGCCGCGTATGAGCGTGTCCAACCTTCTCTCCGGGAGCTTCCGGAGTCGCGCTGCGCCGCAGCAGACCCCTCTGCTGACTCCCCCGTCCCCTCCTGCCCCAGTACAAGCGCCCGCTCCGGCTCCTCGCCGTCTACCGAGTTTCGCTGACATCTTGGCTCGAACGAACCTCCTGCACCTGATGGGCCGGTCGAGCGAGCCCACGGAGGCCCCCGCTCCCGCCATGGAGGCGCCTATGGAGGAGGAAATGCAGATGCAGCCGCAGCCGGAACAGCATATGATGGCTCCTATGTACCAGCCACAGCCAATGCAGCCCATGGAAGGCAGCTACACGGCGTACGCACCACCTCGCGTGGACACTAACATGAACATGGACACGTCGTCTACTATGGGCGATGAACTGCAGAGCCCCATGGGCGCAGCATCGCCCGTGAGCCAGACGAGCGAGACCAATAAGCGACGTGAACGCTGGACGGAAGACGAACACGCCCGCTTCATGGAGGGCCTGAACCGTTACGGACGCAAGTGGAAGAAAATCCAGACGTTCGTTAAGACCAAGACGGCCGTACAGGTGCGCACTCATGCGTACGGCTACTTTGCCAAGCTATTGCGTAATATGCCCGAGGACGACGCCATCTGGGAGCTCGCCGAGGAAATGAGCTCCCTGCCTGGCGCCGTACTCAAGGGCCCGGGCAACGGCAAGCGCCGTAATGAGCCCAAGACGGATGAGGCCGGCATGGAAGTGCTCCGCCGCTTTGTGTTCTCTAAAAAGAAATCGGAGGACAAGAAGCAACTCCCGGCCTCTAGTAATGACGCGAATGAGGACCGCGAGAACGTGGAGATGGCCGAGTCGACGCCCTCTAACGCCAACTCGCAGCCCACGGGGTCGTGGAGCTCCACGCAGCAGTGGAAGGCTGACGACTCGGACGCGCTGCTGGAGATCAAGCGCCAGCGCCTGAATTAGTAGTATATTTTTGCGGCCCCCATGAGTGGAAATTGTAGGCATCAGAATAATAGGACACACAAAAGATCACGACAAGTGTATAAAAAGAAACGATATACACTCGGCAAACGCTATTTATTTGACGCATACAAATTTGGTGGTGGCAATGAAGGCTGCAACGCGTTCCTAACAACTTTGCTCAGCGTTTCATGGCAACGTGACGTGTCAGCGGTTTTCTCTTTCCTGCAAATATTGATGCGAACGTTTGCCGAAAGCTGCTCTGGCGAAGGCAAATTTGTCTTGGCCGTTGGACAGAGAATCAGGCAGAGAGCGGCAAAGTGAATGCAGAGCCAACGTCGCGATTACTCCTTGAGAAAGTCTCGAGCACGTTGATCACTTCGGTGACCATATTTTCGTGCACCGGTACATGTAGAATCGATGGTGGTACAGTGTGCCAACTTGCATCAATTTGAATCCAGCTCGCAGCTGCGCCTTTTTGTGGCTCACAGCGCTCGGATCGCGCATGGAACGGCCACCTGATAAAAATTTCTTTCGCGTGCGCCAAACATAACTTAAGCGGGAGAGCACTCGGTTAATGTGCTCTCCCGCTGGAGTACTAGTCCAGCTTCAAGCTCGAAGCCAACAAGCATCGCTGGCTGCGTGGTGGTTGTAAGACACACCATTTCCCTCACCACCAACGGTGTTCAACAATCCTGTGCGTTCTTGGCGGTTACTGTAAATGGCTGATTAAAAACTGGAGATGGATAGCGTAGCAGAAAATCTGTGGTAGAGTCTGCCAGATCTGTTCCACGATACTTCTTATGAGCTTGTCACATTGGTCTTGAACCGACAACGTCGCCAAATGAGTTGTTCGAAACAAGAATTCCGAACACTCGAGATTATCAGTACAAGATTGATTTGCTTCATACCATCGGAGAAGACTGTGTCATTGTAACCGCTGCTACATGCCTTCCCGTGCTTACGAGATGAATTTATCGCTCTGTAATCTAGGTACAGTATTAGTGAATTCAGTAAGAAATCTGTCGAAAATTTCGACTATGAAGTCGCATTGGAACGATTCGAAAATGAATGTCGACGATTATATCCAAACATGTAAATGCAGTCACCCTCTTTGTCTGCTTCTACCTCCGTTGCTTGTTGGAAATTGCACAAAATTGATTCGCGGAAGTATGTTGTAAGCTGCAATTGCACCAGGGGTCTCCTAGTGAGGCGGGCCATTGAATGGTACTTCGAAGTATCTAATTGCACGGCCACGAAAAAAAAACTTTAAGTAGCCGCTTTGATTCGCTATCTTTGTGCGTACGACATCTATGGGAGTGTTCGCTTTTTAGAACGATAAAGCAGACCCTTGGTATTGTAATAATGAGAGTGCAAATATATTACTACAGTTTTAAGTTAATAGTAGTATTTCGTTTTCTTGTGGAGTTGTCAAAATTGGGGTAATCTCATCACTTTTGCGTTGAAGCAAAACAATATTAATACATGCACTTTCAAAACTTCAGGTATACGAGGCATTTTGCAGGGTGAACGTTCATTTATATTCATCAAACGACACATACGTTGGAACCACTAGTCTAGTTAGTGCAATATTTACTTCTTGAACGGCCAAGACTTCTCCACCTTTCCGAGGAAGTTCCAGTCATTCATGGGCGTGTTGGCCTTGCCAAACTTGGTATCGTTCAATGCCCTGCGCGCCAGATCCGACATTTGATCCCACATGATCAGGTCCTGGAAATCGCCAGCCTCCTTTGTGATGTCCAGCGCGTGGTTGAGCGGCCACGAGTGCTCGTACTTGACCTTGACGCTACTGCCGTCAATGACGTCGGCCGGGCATGGGGCGTATTTGTTGTACCCACTGTGCCACGACGGTGAACAGCCCAGAATCTTCGGCTCAGGTACTTCCGGGTTGTCAATAAACACCACAATGTGCTCCCAGTCGTGACGGTGGCCCATACGAGAAGACGGCGCATCCTTGGGGAAGTACCAGGAGTACATGATGGCCCACAGACCGTTGAACCACGTAGAGCGGCCGTAGACCTGCGAACCGTGACCGGATCCTCGGCATCCGCCCTGCGGACTACCGGACGTCTGGAGACCACCGCTGGTTTCGCCATCCTCGTTCACTGCGGGGTACGGAACGCACCCGGTCTTGACAGCGATCTGTGGTTTGAACTTAACACCAGCCTTCTCGGAGATCGTCACTGGTTTAGGTTCAGCAAACGGCTTGACTTCCTTGTGCGAAATGGTCTTGGGCTGCCATTCTACTGGGGATTGCTGTTGCTGCTCTTGCTGTTGCTCCTGCGCCTGGGTCATGACAACCGTGAGGACAGCAGTGGAGAAGAAGGCGCTGAGCTTCATTGGAAGGTAGTTGCTGCGTGTTAAACTTGGAAAGTTGAAAAGTGAAGTCGCCGTTCGGACGATTGTTGTAAGATCAGAGGTTGCGATCGATGTGGAGTTGAGGTGTATGGTTCGTAGCGGGAAAAATGTTCCTGCATAGAGTAACCTTGTGTTACGCTTAGCCGATCGCATTCGGTGGCATTCGATCGATTGCGGGCGGCGCTTTGAAATTTGCATGGAGCACGGCCACATAATCTTCTTCAAAGAATCTTAAAATGCATTTGAGGAGTTCTACAGACACCAACTGGGAGCTACAATGCAGATCTGCAGACGTTGACATATTGCATGTGCAGCCTACTACACTCAGGCAATCAGAACATGAGAGATTAAAGAGTTGATTAAAGGCGCGTCGTGTTAAACGTTACTAAAGTAAGTAACTAATCCAGCATAAGGCAGTTTACTCATGGATTTTGCAGTGTTCCGCTTTGTCGAGAAGGAGTAGCAATATCGTGCACGGCCGCTTCTTAAATGTATGTTATGCTGGTTTAAAAACGTGCCGGCTCACCATGTATGGTGCCCCAATATTATATTGAATATAGGGTGGAATGTACACCTACCGACTTGCACTCCAGCATAGCATTTTTTGCGTTGTCAGGGCAGGTGATTCCACCGAAGTTCGGTCAAAACAGGCGACACAAGTAACACAGGAATTTCTTTACTCAGTTATCGAGGGCTTTGACTCAAAGAACCCGTTTGCCGTAATCAGCATAAAAGGAAACAGAGAGCACAAATCTACGCTATGATTTTGTGGCTCACCCTACATATAGTTTTCTGCTTTAATAGCACTACAGTTCCTAATTAATAATGATGTTGCTATTGGGGCTGCGTTTCTAAGTCATAGGGGCAACATAGACTGCGTGCTTCACAAGCTGTAAGTTCAAGCACTCCACAACTCAAGAGATGCCACACGCATAAGGTCAAGAAAGAATGCAAAAAATCG